GGGCGAGCGCAGCGAGCCGTGATGGGGGCGAGCGAAGCGAGCCCCCCCATCGGCCCCCCCCGGCTGGTGAGGGGGCCTCGCCGGAGGCGCCGCCGGAGGCAGAAAATTTGGTGCATTTTCCTTTCATTTCCCGTCAAAATGGGCCCAAATGCGGCATCAAAAAGGGCTTGACTTCAGCTGCAAACATCGCACGGAATGTAGAAAAAAAAAAAAAAGATTAAGATTGATGTATTGTCGCGTATCCTCAGCAGTACCCTCCTTCGGTCTCTCCCTGTGTCTACTTCCCGGTTGGTTCTGGACATGGTGCTGTTGTCTGCTGTTTCTGCGCTGCTGTGCTGTGTGTGTGTGGCGTACAGGGGCTCCGTACTGCTGCGCATACCCTAAATTTGATTCACGGAGCCCCTAAGAAAACATCGGTCGGAACATCGGCACGAATTTTCGATACCGATATCGATATATATCGGACGATATATATCGTGTACATCGTTCCGATTCACAACTCTATCAGCAACTGTTTCGCGTGCCGTCAATACACGGCCGCACGGAGTATCGAACAACGATCATGACGAAAACGACAATCAACACAAGTACTCCTTTCCGAGATAACTTATTGCCTGTGTCTCTCTTCTCCCTTTGTCTGTCGCGCTAGGCGCGCTAACGTGCCGAGTTTAGTAACGCAACAAAAATAAAGTCTTCTATCGATGGCACCCACCTACTAAATATTTCGATTGTCCGTAGGCATTTGCTGTGCGTGGATACAAACGTATCCAAGAGTTTCCAACCTCCATTTTCACCATGTTGACGGCCTTCGAGAGCAATCTGAAGCGACAACGTTCTGCAAGTCTCTCATGGAGATGTACAGTCACCCGAAGTCACGTCGACCTCCACTCAACAAGAGGCCCCCAAGCATCATCATCTCTCGCCACAATACTTTCAAACTGCAGCTGTACGTATAGCATGGAAGACCGCCGAAGCAATGAACAAGATTTCCACGCCATCACATCATCACATCCTCTGTCTTGTCCAATCTTCCAACTGCAGCTGTGTATTGTAAACCACGGACGGTATCACACAAAACACTCACACCGCACGGTCAAGAAGAATGCCCCCCCCCCCCCCCCC